TCCCAGTTGTTTCAGCTCTAGCTATGGCTAAAAGGGGCCAATGTAAAGCTTAAGCCATTGCTTCAGAGGGTGCAAGTCCCAGGCCTTGGCACCTTATAAGTGGTACTGGGCCTGCAGAAGCACAGAAGTCAAGAAGTAAGATTTGGAAACCTCCACCTAGATTTTAGAGGATGTATGGAAATGCCTTGGTTTCCAGGCAGAAGTTTGCTGCAGGGGTGGATCCCTAACTGAGAACCACTGCTATGGCAGTGCAGAAGGCAAATGTGGGGTTGGAGCCCACACACAAGGTCCCCACTGAGGCACTGCCTAATGGAGCTATGAAAAGAGAGCCACCATCCTCCAGACCTCAGAATGGTATCTCCACCAACAGCTTGCACAGGGCACCTGGAAAAGCCACAGACGCTCAACGCCAGCCCAGGAAAGCAGCCTGGAGTGGGGACGTACCCTGCAAAGCCACAGGGGCAGAGCTGCCAAAGGCCATAGGCGTCCACCTCTTGCATCAGCATGACCTGAATCTGAGACATGAAGTCAAAGGGGATCATTTCAGAGCTTGAAGACTTGACTGCCCCACTGGATTTCAGACTTGCATGGGGACTGTTGCCCCTTTGTTTTGGCCAAATTCTCCCATTTGGAATGGGTGTATTTACTCAATGCCTGTACCCACTTTGTATCTAGGAAGTAACTAACTTGCTGTTGATTTCACAGGATCATAGGTGGAAGGGACTTGCCTTGTCTCAGATGAGACTTCAGACTTGGACTTTTAGGTTAAAGCTGGGATGAGCTAACATTTTGAGGGACTGCTGGAAAGGGCAGGATTGTGTTTTGAAGTATGAGGACATGAGATTCGGGAGATGCCAGGAGAGGAATGATATGGTTTGGCTTTGTGTCCCCACCCAAATCTCATCTTGAATTGTAATCCTATAAGCTCCACATGTCATGGAAGCGACACAGTAGATGTAACTCAATCACAGGGGCAGCTTCCCCCATGCTATTCTCATGATAGTAAGTTCTCACAAGACCTGACGGTTTTATAAGGGGCTTCCCCCTTCATTCAGCTCTCATTCTTCCTGTCACCATGTGAAAAAGGATATGTTTGCTTCCCCTTCTGCCATGTTTGTAAGTTTCCTGAGGACCCCCCACCACAGCACTGCAGAACTGTGAGTCAATTAAACCTCTTTCCTTTATAAATTACCCAGTCTCAGGCAGTTCTTGACAGCAACATGAGAATGAACTAATACACATTGTTATAACTACATAAGTGCAGTGGTTTTATTGCTTACTTTTCAAAAAAAAAAAAAAACACACACTATATTTCCTTTCTTTTAAAATGTTTCATTATTCCTGGAGTTGACAATTGCCTTGTTTCCCTACTTGGTTAGTTTCCATAACCCTATAATTATTTCTTAGCAAAATCTTCAAATTAATTAATAAAACTCTTCTATATACAGCTACTAGTTCTTTATTTTTCTGGTTTTTTAGAACACTATCCTCCCGCTCTAAGCCAGTTGCTCTTAAGTCTTGCTTCCAATCTTCCTGTAACTTCCCTTCACCTCTCTTCTACATTGCCTTCCTATTTCCTTGTTCTCCTATCATCTTTCTTGGTTTACTCTCACGTTTTGATGAAACTTTTGTCAGGCCTTCCAGAAAAAAATTTCTCAGAAGCAAAATTTTTTGAGACTTTGTATATCTCAAAACATCCTAATTCTACCCTCATACTTGATACAGTTTTGCTAGAAATAGAATTCAAAATAAAAAAAAAAGTTTTCCATTGAAACCTTAAACTTACTGTTCTATTATGTTTTAATTTCACTGTTATGGTTAAAAATTTCATGCCATTCAGTTTTTCTATCTTTAGTACATTACCTTTTTTTTCCTCTCAAATCTTCTAGAATCATCTTTCTTTGCTTCTCTGAAATGATATAATGATGTGCTTGATGTGAGCTATTTTTATTCACTCTTTTAATCTAATAACTCATATCCTTTAATGATATGCCCTGTTTTTATTCTTTGGTGATTTCTCTAGAAATCATAACATGAATATTAAGCATATCAAAGTTTAAGGCTAATCAATATTGTTACTTCAAAGATGAATATATCAATAAGATGGTGAAGCTAAAATTTCAGGGACTCTTACTTGCCCAGTCTCCTTCCAACCCTAGCAAAGCCTCATGTGTTCTCTTTGTCACGTATTTTTATAAAATTTGCAAAAATAAGACATTTTAATTGCAGTTGATTAAATTCCCTGTCTCTTTCTACTCTTGCTTACTTTCTCTCACATATTCCCCTAGTATGTTCAAGTGACTGTGGGTATTTTGGGGATGTGGCTAAGGGAAACTAAGTTGAGACTACATTTAGTTTAAGCATAGGGGAAATGTTTACATGATTTGCTTCAATATGTAAGATTAGTGAGTGGCGGAGCTAGGATTCCAAGGCAGTGTACCTGATCTTAACATTTATTCACTAAATTGTCTTTCAGATGTCAACAGGTCTTTCATTCCTAATGTGAGGGCACGATAGTCTATTCTCATCTAGTTGACACTATTATTTGACATTTTTGCCAATTTCCCACTTTCCTACCTGCTTCTAACATTTTTTCTATCATATTGCTGCCCTAACCTGTATCTTACACTCTGTTCAAACTAAATTTGTGCCATTGTCAAACTATGCCTTTGTTATGCCTTTTCCTCAGTCTAAAATAACTTTGTCCAATGACATTATTCTTAATTCTGTACTTATTAATTCAGAGATTTTTATTAATTTATTTGGCATTAAGTACTGACATCAGTGAAGAAAGTAGAGAACTCTCATGTTCACTAAATAAGACATCAACAGGGAAAGGACTGTCTATGCAATAAATGGTACTGGGATAACAGGCTAGCCATATTTAGAATACTGAGACTGGACCCCTTGCTTTTACCATATACAAAATCAACTCAAGATGGATTAAAAACTTAAACATAAAATGTAAAATTATAAAAACTCTAGAAGAAAATCGAGGAAATACCATTCTGGACATAGGCCTTGGCAAAGATCTCATGACAAAAACTACAAAATGATTGTAGGTTGCGTGCGGTGGCTCACGCCGTAATCACAGCACTTTGTTGAGGAATTTTGTGTCTATGTTCATCAAGGATATTGGCCTGGAGTTTCTTTTTTTCTTGTGTCACTGCCAGGTTTTGGCATCAAAATGATGCTGACCTCAGAGAATAAATTAGGGAAGATTCCCGCCTCAATTTTTTGGAATAGTTTCAGTAGAATTGATACCAGCTCTTTTTTATACATCTGATAGCATTCAGCTATGAATCCATTTGGTCTAAGGTTTTTTCTGGTTGGTAGGTTTTTTGTTACTGATTTAATTTCAGAATTCATATAACATAATTTTGTACATAGTTACTACAGAAAATTTGGAAATTCAGAAAAGTATTTTTTAAATGAAAACAATCATTCATAATTCCTCCACCCAGAAGCAGACACACTTAACATTTTGCATATTTTCTTCCAGATATTTTTCTATATAATAATCTCTTTGTAACCTTAAAAATGTGCTGGCAGAAAATTTTATAAACTTTTTTGGCTACATTCTATGTTATAATCGTTTTCTTGTGTCATTAAAAGTTCTTTGTAAACACTCTAGTGGCTACATAATGTTCCATATTAACAGCCTACAATAATTTATTTACCAATTTCTCTATTGTTAGAAAATTGAATTATATCTCATTTTATGCTATTTTTGAATAACTTATCTCAATTTCCTACTTCAATAAGAAACTATATAGATGAAAACTGAACATAAAGATAGCTATCACTGGATCTCATAGATAGTCCAGATGCTATGTATCCTTGGGAATCATCATGAGATCTCCCATAATACAGGCTGTAAGGTCTACATTTTGAACTTCTAACTTCAGAACTATATAATACAGAACTGTTAAGGGTTCTGCATCACATAGAACCCAACCCATGAATTATTTGCATCAAAAAAAAAAAGATCTCATACACAATAGAGATCTCATACACACAATCATTTTGTGTCTTCCTAACAATCAAAGTAAAGGTAAAAATATTAGAAGGGGCTATGTACTAGAGGTTTACAAGAAAATGGGAACAGAGACACTGTTTAACTGATATCACGTGTGAGTCTAGGACAGCAAGAACTCCAGAGAAGATAACAATCTTACTCCCTGAAATGAATCCCAGAATAAATGGAACCCTAGTCATTAATGCAATTTGGGACTATTATTTAGCAAATAAATCATTTTTTAACATCTCAAGTTAATTACCTATAAAAGGACTTTTCAAAAAGGAAGATAGAAATAAACTTTTCTTTAAAAAATGAACATTTTTACCTTAACGAGCAAATCTACTGTAAAACAGCAAACACATTGGCCAACTTGCAAAACATTCATTAGTTTTTTAGTATTTACACTTTTACCCAGTAATTCCACTTCTGGGAATTTACCCAATGGATATACTTTTTACATGCAAGTGATTTATGCATAACATTACTCGTTGCAGCATTTTTTCAATGGTTAAATATAAGAAACAACCTAAATTAACACAAATAGGGAGCTTGTTAAATAAATTATGGTACATTCATAATTTGCAACACAATGCAGAAAATAAAAATGAATGTGGGAAATTTTTCTGTACTAATATGAACGGATCTCCAAGATATACTATGAGGCACAAAAAACAAAGACAGTTTTTATTTTATGTTACCATTTGTGATAAGGAAAAAAGAAAAAAAAAGGACATATGCTTTAAAAACTTTTCTGAAGGAATCATCAAATAACTAACAATAGTAGTTTTCTTTCTGGGCAGATGGATACAGTATATATCCATATATTTTTTGATATTTCAACCATATTACCGTACTTCCTTTTCAAAAGAATAAATGATTTTTGAAGTATTACAAATTTCTAAAGTCAGCCAAAGATTTATATAGTTGACATAAGGTCTCAGTGGCATCCATCTAACACAAGGAGTTAAGAAAAACTTACACTGACTGAAATTCGCTTGTCCATGCTCCAGAAGAATGTAGAGTTGAAGAATAAGTTGTGGGCAGCCTTCCAGGTAGGTCTCAAATAGTCTGAGCATGCTCAAATCAGTCACTCTATCTATAACTTCTTTATGTAGATCGATTTGTTCTTCCATGAAGTTAGTAGTATTGCCGTCATACGTAAAAGCTGCATGGTAACCCCTTTTCAAGGCAAACCAATACCTATAAAGTAAACATAAACATTTCTCTTTAGTCTTATATTCTTTATAACATGTCTGTTAATACACATAATAATTTGGGAAAAGGAATATATGGGGTTTTTTTTATTATTATACTTTATGTTCTAGGGTACATGTGCACAACGTGCAGGTTTGTTACATATGTATACATGTGCCATGTTGGTGTGCTGCACCCATTAACTCATCATTTGCATTAGAT